CCCCCCCGAAGCTGTAATCTTACCAGCACTGTCTCAGGAGGAGCTTGAAGCTGTCTGGACAGCCTTCAGGTACGGGCAGTTGTAGACTGTTGTTGCCCACTCCCCAGATGATGGCAGAGGAGTCCACATCTTTGTAGGGTACTTCCCCCGTCAGCATCTCCCACATCACAACACCGAAGGACCTGAAGAAAAATACACACTAAGTTACACACTGATAATGTGAATGGAAGAAATGACACATTTTTTATATATATATATATTTTTTTGATTCAAGTGATATTTATATCTTGTAGACACTTTTATGATGTTGGTTCTGGGAAGAGATGAAGCTGTGATTTATGGATACTTTGCTGTGGTGACATGTAAAAAGAGCCATTAGAAGAGGAAGGTCTAATAAGAAAAAAAAAAAAACACAACAACTTTGTATTGTATTGTATTGTATTGTATTGTATTGTACATTGTACATGTATTGTACTCTGTAGGAGAACAGCAGCGCAGCAGGTCCACCGGGAGAGTAACCAGGGAAAGTCGGTTGGTGCTAACTCTGCGTTGCTATGGCGACCCTGTACAGTATCCAAGGTGTCCAGAGCATCATACGAGTGGGTGTGTTGTTTTCGCAGGTGTATTTATAGGGTAACTTCCAATCACCTTGTTTATCGTGTTACAAATAATAATAGACATTACATAAACATTTAGACACTGGACATACAGCCCGTGGTCCAAAACCAACCCACTAGGGGGTGTAATCTTGAATTTTGAAAGTGAAAAAAAATTCACAAAAACTTCATTTTATATTTAATGAAATGTGAATATTTTCGAATATATTTTAATTATTTGCAGGAAAACAAAGGAGGGGAATGAGGACTTATTGTTATTTAGAGGTAATTGTGTTATATCTGTACTGGTCCGGCCCACTTGACATCTAATTGGGCTGTATGTGGCCCCAGAACCAAAACAAGTTTGACAGCCTACTCCAAGACATTCAAGTCCCTCTAATCTAATCTTATTTTTATTTATTTTTTATTATTGTCTTTGCTAGCACTGATGAGCGTTAGGTTTTTGTGGGGTTTTTTTTGTACTTGCGTAGTCAGGTTCCTGTCATGTTCTGCATATTAACACAGAGAGAGAGTGTACAAGATTAGATATGATTGGCCGAAAAGTATTAAATGTGTAGGATGTCAGTGCATGTGCTTGACTTGACTGGCCTGCCTGCAGCTCCATTTCATATTACAAAAGTCCGTCTCACAAAGAGGACAAAACAGACAATGGTCTTCTACACAGAAGTCTAGTTCCACAACTAGCTTGTTGGTTCATATTTTATGAACATTCTAGAAATTGTTTTTCCCAAAGAAACACACTTCTGGATGTATCGTCTGTAAATTAAAATGCTTTCCAACATTCTTTTCTTCTCTTCAAGTGCATACCAGGCATGAGCAACCTAAGGCCCGGGGGCCAGATGCGGTCCGTTTAACTTTTTAATCTGGCCCGCGAAAAGTTTCCAAATTATGTAATTTATTTATATTATCATTATACTTCTGAATTTCCATGCAATACACACATTTCGCCAATAGATGGTGTAGAAAATGCTAAAGCATTTTAGCATTTTAGCATGACTTTTACATGTCATTTATCTTAATTCACACAAACCCTCCATCTATCTGCTCCCGACCCGGCCCCCCCCCTTGTTCAATTTCAGGACAATTGTGGTCCGCGTATACGCCTGGCGTACACTGTCCACCCGTATGACTCACATGGCTTCACACCAACCCCTACAGAACACACCCAGGCCCAGCTTTGCGTTGCTGTCGTTTTACTTCAAAAGCTTTTTAATTCTATTTTCACTTCTCTGCTAATGCACTGTTGGCCGCCGACCAAAGCGTCCTCAGGCTTGGACGCTCGTATCTGCCTCTCCTGAGCACTGCAGCATCTGGCGAATCAATTATTAAATTAGCCAGCGTTCCTTTCAGGGCTAAGAGTGAGTGAGAGAGATAGAAAGAGAGACAGGGAGGAGGAAGAGAGAGAGAGAGAGAGTTGTGATGTGATGGAGGGATGTGGAATGGGAGCGAGGGAGGAAGGAGAGTGCATTGTGGGAGATCAGGGCCTTACGCAGGGGCAGCCCATCAGATATGGCAGAGACTGTACAGAATGTCATGTAACGAGATATTTCATGTAACACTGAATGGATTTTCTGGAAACCGGAGCCGTCGCTCCATACTGCAGCAGACAGTAACCAATGAGATTCTTCATAGATCGAGTGACGAACCAGGCCGACAGTGAGAGTTCGGCTACGCAAAATGAAAGCAGGACGTAAACGTAGAGGGCGACACCTACCAAATGTCCACCTTCTCTGAAACGGGCTCGTTGCGAATGACCTCAGGAGCCATCCAGGCCACCGTACCCGCGAACGACATCTTGGTGCTCTTGTCACTGAGCTCTTTGGACGTCCCGAAATCAGAGATCTTCACGGAATCGTCGTAGGTGATCAACATGCTGGAATTGAAAAAGGAAAGAATAGGTTTGCGTTTAGAAGTAAGATAAAAAAAACCTCTAAATGACAGCAGGTAATTTGCTAATTCGTGGCACATAAATATATTTTAATTTTAAAGAAAAATTGCAGAAAAAATTCAGTCGATCACGGCTTAAATTCATGTGTTAACGTTAGTAAATAAATATATTTTAATTTTAAAGAAAAAATTCAGTCGATCACGGCTCAAATTCATGTGTTAACGTCAGTATATTCATGAAAACGGAACCCAGAACATAGGTATTTAAAAAATGGGGTTTTTGACATTTTTGACCGTTCCACTTCTCTTCTCCCTTGTGTCTCTGTCCCAAGGGGTGAGGACAAAGTCTTCTCCCACAATCCCATTATTTGTCAGAAATACTTTTTATTCTCAGAAACGTCTCATGAACCTGAGTCCGACACGGATTCTGAATCACACCCGTCACCCCAGTGAAGGTTACGTCCTGATCAGGAGCAGGTGAGACAGTCGTCTCGCAGTGACCATTCCACTCACTTTGGTGACTTGAGGTCTCTGTGGATGATCTTGTGAAGGTGAAGATAGTTCATGCCCCCGGCGATGCCCATGGCCCAGTCCATAAGAAGGGAGGGCGTGATCTTCCTGCCTGCTCTCAGGACCTCGTACAACTGCCCCTGGGCGCAGTACTCCATGATGATGCAGTAACACGGCGCCTGGGTGCAAATACCCCTGAGAACACGAGGATTAGAAGACAGTTGTCAACAAAAGCGGAACCGCTTGGTGGTGGACATATATCGCACACATTGGCTCGGACTAACTTGAAGGTGATGATGTTGGGATGCTTCAGCTTGCGCAAGTGCTTGATGTCCGTCTCTTTGATGTTTCGCACTTTCTTAACCGCCACTTCCTGTCCGTGCAGTTTACCCAGGAAGACGGCGCCCTGAGCGCCGCTGCCCACCCACTGCAGGTCCGAAATCTCCTCGAACGGCACCTCCCAGGCCTCTGTAGATTGAAATCAAAGGGGAAAGACGTAAGCAAAGCCTCTGTAGAATTTTTTCTGCAACGCTGATACAGAAAAAACTGGAAAACTAACGGTTCTTTAAAGCATTTAAGTCAAACTCAGGCCCGGGGGCCAAATCTGGTCCGCGGTGTAATGATATGTGGCCCGTTCAGGCCCGGGGGCCAAATCTGGTCCGTGGTGTAATGATATGTGGCCCGTAAGATTGTATCAAATGTGTACTAGAGTTGGCCCGAATCTGTAGTATATAGTAGTATGTAGTATGTAGCATGTATTAGCGATGTGTGCGCTATGCTATAGCACATACATTTTTGGGTTTTTTTTTGTTGTTGCCCTGTGTAAAAAAAGATTTCTATTAAAAACAAACTTTACGCAAAAGTTTACGCAAAACTAAAGTTTGTTTCCATATGAAAAAAATTCTACATTACAGATCTGGAGAGAAGAGAAAACATGCAAAATTGCCTTCAATTTTTCCAAAAAATATTAAGTTCAGCCCGCGACGTCACAGATCTGGAGAGAAGGGAAAACAAAAATGAACAATTGCCCTCAATTTTTCCAACAAATATTAAGTTTAGCCCGCGACGACGTTTCAGTTTTTAATTTTGGCCCTCTGTGAATTTGGGTTTGACACGCGTGCTTTAAAGAAACATTTGAACCACAACTATTTTCGGTATTTATGTGGAGTACTACAACAATATTTAAGACGGTGGTGATCTGCTTGACTTTTGACATTGGTTCAAATTCTTCCACCAGTGTCGACCGCTAGCTACTAGCGAAATTATCGAACAGATGTGTTTTACAACAGCGTGGCTTCATTGCCCATATGTGAACACCGCAGTACTTTAGCAGATTCTCACAGCTGCCATCGTACTTTAGAAAATGTAGTAGTATAATCACAACTTCTTTGGAGGTGTACGGCTCCACAGACCGGCGTGGGTGTGAGCGCTGAAGTGCGCTCGAGGACGCTTTAGCGCCGAAGTGTGATGTGATAATGTTATTAAGGATTTTGGTTTACATTTATATTTGTAAACAATGAACATGAATTACCGCATACTCTACTTGCGGCAAAAAAAAAATGCATCGTGAAACCACGGCGTCGTTTCCGTCAGTTTTAGCTCTCGAATTAGAACTTCACCTGCTCCTAGTATTCAGTTTGGACAGGCAGACAGTTCCACAGCTTTAATCTGCTGTAGTAATTCTCTCTCAGCCTCTAAATCCTACTTAGTGCTATTGTGGGGCTGACGCAAAACAAGGTTCTGGCTACAGGAGGGGTTTGAATCATGGAGGGCTTTAAGTGCCCCATTAGGGTGTGTGGTGAACGGCGAGGTGAAGGGGAGTCGACAGAGTAGGTGTATGTCTGTCTCTCTCTCTCTCTCTCTCTCTCTCTGTCTGTGTGTGTGTGTAAAGTGAAGAGATAGGAGGGAAATTCCCAACAGGCTGCCAGTGTCCATGTGGCCAAAGACAGCCTGTTAATACAGAGGAAATTTACAGCCTGCTGCTGCCGCCGCCGTTAACAAGGCGAAGGGAGATTGAGACGCATTCGTCTTATTAATAAGAATGCTATCAATGATTTATGATCGCCGATAATTGAGGATCCGGCCTCAAACAGCGTACGGTAACGACGGCGTCCGATAATCCCGCAATTCCAGTTGTGTTTGTTGTCACAAAAAAAAAAAAAAAAAAAAAAAAAAAAAAATAGAACATCTGCCAGGATCAACAGAGTGGAGACATTGTTTTGAGGTGTTTGTTGTCGTTGATAGTTCACGGTACGGCGCGAGTCAGCTGACACTGTCTTCATCTAGCCATGATATCCGTCAGATTTTGCTGTCAGATTCGGAGACTTCCTGTGAGGCCGCACCAGGGGGTGGGAGGGGGGGGAGAGGGGGGGCAGCAGTAAAGTGCAGATGGGTGATAACAGCCCAGCTTGAAAAGAGGGGAGGAAAGGAGACAATGAGAGGTAGAGGGTGGGAGTGGAGGGACGATGACCAGAAGTCAAACGGGTGACAAAACATGGGTGGACTGTAAAGACCGACTGTGAAGACGGACGTAGAACTGGAAATGTGGTTTTGTTTTTTTTTTCTCTCGTGGCTTTGTATGTTAATTTTCTCATTTTCCTCCTTTTAATTGTGTGTGTCTTCATCTTGGGCTGGATCTGCGCGTGTGCGTGTGTGTGTGTGTGTGTCCGTGTGTCAGGTTTGCGTTAATAGAGATGAGAGGCACAGGGTCAGAGCGTGGCCATGCATAATTCATGAAGCAGATTTGGCAGCGGGGTCCCGGGGGAGATCTGCACCATTGTATTGGCTGCAGACATAAACAACACAGCGTCACGGGGAGCTAGTTTTCAACGGGGGTGGGGGTGGGCACATCCCTGTGCAGCTTTGATGGAGTCTCTCTCTCTCTCTCACTCTCAGTCACTGGCTGCAGCTCCTTTATGTCAAAGCAAATGTATGTTTACGATGTATGCGCCTCTGTGAGGTTCATTCTTTGCACCGAGTGCTTTTTGTAATTCAACTACTGCAGCGTACGATGATTTCATTAGCACCTCAAAGCTAAAGTGGTCGTTTTTATCGACGATAATCTAGAAGCGATTTCTGATCACAGGTGTGATGGCGGTCGACGCCGTCGTCATCGGCATGACCTCGGCGACATCACTCACCGTCCAGGTCGTGCTTGTGCTCCGTGGAGTAGGCTTTGCCGATCATAGTCCAGACGGGCCGCAGACATCCAAACAGCCCCTCCAGGAAGCCCCCGCCTCCTCCCGGAGACTGGCACTGCAACCTGGCGTCGCACACCTGACCTCTGACCGTGCCGCCGTCCGGCTCCTGTCCCTCGCCCTCTGTCCGTCCGGGAGTCCCATCGTGTTCGTGGAGCTTCAGGACGCTGTTGGCGAAGTGCTCCTGTTGTTCGTCGCCCGGCGTCTGGTTGTGCCTGGGGGTCTGGCCGTCTCCTCCTGCGGTCCGGGGCTCGACGTCGCCCCCGGTTTCTATAGACAAAACATTGCGAAGGACACACTGGGTCGGGGTCAAGTCCATTTCCGGCGTGCAGGGAGTTTCTACATCGAGACGCCGAAAAGACGGAGGATCAGAGAGTGGGCTGTTAAAGCCGGAGAGGGAAGGAGAGGGGGCACGAGGTTCATGAATGAGCGCCATGAGGGACTGCAGTCATCTGAACAACTAGAGAAGAGACCAAATAGACAAAAAAAAAAACATCAACCACAGTAAAAGATTTAAACAAATACTGAATTTGGACAATCAAGGAATGTATGACTTTTCTCCTATTTAATTCAAACTGAATTAGACATAAAATATTATACAGTCCCCAATGACTGTATTTATTGGGGAAAAAGACAGTAAAATATCATAACATTTTTCAAAATAGTACCTCAAATAATTTGGTGTAACAATAAAAGCTATGGTTACTTTACCTCAAGGGTCTACTTAAACATAAACAGCAGGTGAACAGTGCGTTAACAATTGCAGTCCATGTCGTGATAAATGGAAAATCAATCAGTTCATTTGTTTACGTCTCACAGTATTCAGGGATATTTTCTCTACTTGCATTCATTTATTAGTCGATGTGGACACAATAAACAATAAGAATCGTAAGTTGAGGGGAATAACAAGGAAGAAAATCTACTTTGATAGTGTGTGGAGAATTTTTTTTGTGAATTCCATTTTTTTGGGATACATAAAAAAAATCAAAAAATAAAGTGCCCTCAAACAAATTCTCTTTTGGAAATCCAGTTCCAGGTTAATATTTGGTTGTAATCCAATGAAGGCAGTGATACATACAGTGGTTATTATTGAACATGTGCAGCACCGTATGACCGGGATAATGATCGTATGTTATATCGGATATGAAATCAATGAAGATATGGTGAAATATGATGCAGGCGGAGGATAAAAGGACAAAAAAAAAAAAAAAAAAAAAGGGTCAGATTGTTGTCCGGGTCGTAAATCTAAGCTGGAGTTTACAACAACCTTGGCTTGGCTCAGGGTGCAATTAAAAAGGACAGAGATGACAGGGACGAAAAACATCATCAACGTGTGATAAGAAAAGAAAAATATAGATACTCCATGTATTTTGCAGGATTCATTTAGCCTCTGTGTTATATATGCACCGCTGCTGAGTGTGGTACAGTCAGTGATTTACATTCTCCCACTATAAATCAGCGGTGCATTAAAATGGATGAGATCAGATGATGGTTGAATGGCACTGGGAGACTACTGTAAGCCTGTTTAAGGCTCATCATCTCTCCAAGGACGACAGCGACAGGAAGACATTACTGTCTTACTATCGCCGCACGAATCTTTACGCTACACCTCTTCAACAAAAAAAATACAAAGTACACGTTTTTTAAAAAAAAAAAAAAAAAACCCCAACAACCATAAAATACTAGCTCATCGTCGTCATGCATAATGTCATTTCCCAGTACTTATTATTAAGTATTATTTCTTCCTCATTTTGAAGGTCAATCTAAATCCAATCACTGCTCCTAAATGCATCTGTAGGCCATTACTGGCTATTATATTGACCTTCCTCCTGATTAGAGAGGAAGCATGTGATAGATGAGTCTCTTTAACGTAAGGCATACCCGGTGTAGTACAGAGCAGTGATACTGATAGCCCCGACACATAAAACAAGCCCCACCCCCCAACAAAAAAAAAAAAAAAAAAAAAAAAAAAAATACAACAACCAGTCGGTGAGTGAGGGGAAAACGTCCCAATAAACCACGGGGACACATCATACACACACCACTGATCTGGCCCTGCTCTCTGCTGGGTATGTTTGATGTAGTGGAGGCACCAGCTGCGGAGCTCGGTGCCCGGTGGATGCTGCGGGAGGCGGGCGGGG